TGAAGAATTAAATAAAATTGTGTTAAAGTATATATGGCAAGGTAAGAAAGCGAGAATAAAATTAAAACTTTTACAAGATGCTAGAACTAGAGGAGGATTTGGCCTTCCTAATTGGGAGTTGTATTACCAAGCTGCAAATTTAATGTGGGCCAAAGAATGGATAACATTAAGAAAGACTAGATTGTTGACATTAGAAGGACATGATTTATTACTGGGCTGGCATGCTTTTCTGTGGTATAAGGGAACTAAATCGCAGGACTATTTTAGAAGGCATTATATACGGGAGTCTTTATGGTTGAACTGGGAGAAGATTAAAAGACAATGTTATTTGAAAATTCCAGTTTGGTTATCAACTATTGAAGCTTTTTCTTATCCTATAACACAGGGGTCCCCAACCGCCGGTCCGCGGACCGGTACCGGGCCGCGGAACAAGCCTTACCGGGCCGCTGGTTGCTGGGCGCCGCCATCTTTTTTTTTGGAAAGCTCACCGGAAGCGCTGTTTCGTCATAAAAAGATGGCGGCGCCCAGTTGACGCCGGTACCGGGCCGCGGCGCCCAGCTGATGTCGGAACCGGGCCGCGGCGTCGAAAAGGTTGGGGATCCCTGCTATAACATATAAGAAGGAACAAACAGTTAGATATGGGGAAATATTAGATGAAAAGGGTGAACTTAAAACAATGGAAAATTTAGAAGAACAAGGTGTAAAGATGAATTGGTTTTCATATGTGCAAATACACTCAAGGTATCTTAAAGATTCTAAAACAGAGGGATTTTATGATAAATTGACTGACCTAGATAGGATTTTGACAGGTACTGATGAAAAAGTGATCAAAAAATTATATAGTTATTTGCTGGAAATTAAATTAGAGGAAGAACGTTAAAGAAATGATGATTGCTTGGGGGAAGAATTTTGGATATGGGATTGATTTAGAGAAATGGCAAAAATTGTGGTCTCAAAATTATAAAATGACAATGTCAACAGCATATAAAGAAAATTTGTATAAGATGTTTTACAGGTGGCATTTTCCCTGACAAGAATAGCAAGAATGTTCAAGAATAAATCTGAAAAGTGCTGGAAATGTCATCAGATACCTGGCTCATATTACCATATGTGGTGGACTTGTGAGGACGCTAGAAAATATTGGACTAGAGTTCGCATATGGTTGGAAAAAATGACAAAGAAACATATAGATTTGAAACCAGAGATTTTTTTTATTGGGAATCTTACCTGATACATATAATAAAAATTTGAAGTATTTGATTGTAAATGTATTAACAGCGGCTAGGATTGTATTTGCTAAAAATTGGAAGAGTGAGAAAATACCATCAGAGGAAGAAATTATTAAGAAAATATTGGAATGTGCTGAAATGAGTAGATTGACATTTGAAATTAGAGAACAAGAAGATAAACAATTCTATGAAGTTTGGGACCTTTTCTATCAATGGCTAGATAATAAGATATAATAATAGAATATTTAGAAACTTAGGAAATAATGAATATATACTTCTTTTTTTCTTTGATACTATCTTTATAAAATTTTATTAAGATAGACTTGGTACGATTCTATGATTTGTTATAAAATAAATTAAGTAAATTATAGTTATCTCGTTAAAGTATGAATTAATAAAATTATAGTCAAATGATTGTATAATAATGATATCAGGCTATATAATTGTGGATTGATAATATGAGTTATTATGTAATATAACTACAATGGAGACTATGAAATGGATGCACAAAAAAAAGTGGTAAACCAACCGATACACTGTAAATTCATGAAGGAGGAAGATGCTTTTATGTTTTATGTGTTTTTGTTCGTTGTTAAAATCAATAAAACTTTTTTTCAAAAAAAAAAGAAAGAAAGAAAGAGTCCGGAGGCCCCTTTGAGAGGAGGACCAGGCCCCGAGGGCAGTTTGGGAACCTAAGCGGACATAAAGTCCACCCCTCCATGCACACAGAAAAGTGTAGCTGAGAAAGGTGAAGATCGCAAATAAATTGCAGGGTCCCCTCAGGGCCTACCCCGAACCCCCCCTTGAGCTGCAGCCCCCCAAGACTTTCACTCCCACTTTCACTTTCTCTTTCTGCGCAGAACTCTCCCTCCTCCTTCAAGTGAAGTCACAAAGGACTCTGCCCGGAAACCGATGACGCATGAGCAGAGAGAATTCCTATTGGTGCTTCAGCTCGTTCTGGCCCCTCTCAGCTCAAAAGTCCGAGAAACGGACTTCTCTCTCTCTCACACACACACACATACACGCGCGCGCACGTGTTCATTTCATGCTTACATTCCGCCGTGGGAAGTGCTGCTGCACTGGATGACAAGGGGGGGAGGTGGAAGAGGCAGCGAGGGAAAGTCTGGGGTCACCCACAGACATACCCCAAGCGGCAGGGAAGCCCCGGAAAACCCTCGGCTAAACCAGGGAGAGGCGCCGCTTCGTTTCGGGGAAGCAAAAGGCGATTCCGCTCCTTGAAACCCGAGTCTCCCTTGTTTGGAACGTCTGGACGAAGCGGTTCCTTCCGGTATCCCCCCCCTCCAACACCCCCCCTTTTCTTTTTTTCTGTGGGTCAGGAGGGCCCCCCATTTCCTCGCAAAGCGGCCCCGAATGGAGTGAAGTTTGGGCCGTTTCTCCTCCGCTTCCCGCTCCTTTCCTGGGAGAACTCCGACAGGGGGTTGGACTAGATGACCTCCGGGATCCCTCCCAACTCTGTTCATCTGTTATCTGGCCACCATCTCAAGCGGTGTAAGAATCTATATACTTGTTTTCTGCAGAGAAACAAAATATATCTAAAGTAAAACACGTTGGAAGCTTTTTCCCCCAGGAATCTCCGTCTCTTTCGGCCCTGGAGCAAGGAAGCGCCCCAGAACGGCTCCTTTTTATTCCTGTTTCACTCCTGAGACTCTCAGAGGGGGGAAAAAACGCAGCACCCACCCAAAAAAAGCCGCCCCTTCACCCTGCAGCCCCAGGAGAGGATTTGGGGGCTGTCCCAGAGGAGAGAGAGGGGGCCAAGCTCCCCTCCGAAGCCCCGGAAGACGAGAAGCAACGGGTGGAGACTCTCCGGAGAGAGAAAAAGCGACAGAGAACTGGAGTGAAACTTCCTGGCAGGGAGGACAATCAGCCGATGGGACTCCTGGCCACCAGAAGTTGTGGGCGCTCCGTCACTGAAGAAGAGACCCGGCAGCCCCTTGTCTGGAATGCTGGAGGTTTTCCTGCCTGAGCAGGGGGCTGGACTAGAAGACCTCCCATGTCCCTTCCAGCTCTGTTCTGTTCTAACTGCAGGCTGTTCTCGGTTCTGCCCGTCAATCAACCTCCTTTCGTAAGCAGCCTCCATTTTCTTCCCTTCTTGGACCTGGACCTGATTTTCCTTCCGACACTTTCATGGGGTAAAAACACGACTGGCAGGTGCAACCGGAGAGATTTAATGCGGGGGGAATTGCGCAGCTGCTGCCCAAAGGAAGCACGGGAGACACGGACACAAACTTGTACTTTTATATCAATATAAAAGTATTTAACATTTGCAGCAGAGAAGACAGTCAGGAACATCCTGAGGTAAATCTCAGCCCAGAGAAGAAAAAGGCGGGGAAAAAGGGAAACGCCCCCTTTCCACCCGCAGCAACCAATCAGAGCGCAGATCCCCTCAGGCGGGAGCCCGCCCCTCACTCTGCCACAATGGGGTGTTTGAGACCTTTGTGCGCTTTCCTTCTCCAGCCATTAAATGGGATATTTTCACATTTAAAGGGTTCAAAAGAAAAAGACCCAAAATGACTTTGCTTTTGTCCATTAGATTGAATTGTCAGGCTGGAATGGTGTTTTTTTTTTTAAAAAATCTTCCACTGTGCTAAAAAGAAGAAAACATCCTTTCTTTTTTTTCTCTTGTACTTCAGACTTTCTTTTCCTCTCTTTCTCCTTCCTTTAATTTCCCATTTTTCTTTGTGTTTTGTATAATAAATAAATAAGTAAAGAAGATCTTCAGACTCTAGAAAAAGTGCAGAGAAGAGCAACAAAGATGGAGGCTAAAAGATATTTTAAAAAACGGTTGCTGGAACTGGGTGTGTCTGGTCTGAGGAAAAGAAGGACGAGGGGAGACATGGTGGCATCTTCCAATATTTCAGGGGCTGCAAGAAAGAAAATTTCTCTCTCCTCTTCTCTAAATAAATATAGAAGGGACCTAATGAAAGAGGCGGAGGTGGAGTTGCATTTTTATAGATAAGAAATAACCAAATCGCTCTAGAAACGCCACAGAAGAAAGACGAAAACCTCCTTCGAGGCATTTGGGTTCATATAAAAGGGGGGAAAGAAGCACAGACTCGAAGCCTTTGTCTGACAGGGAACCATGCAGAAGGGGCCTTTCCCGCTACTCCCAAGCCCATCATCCCGGCACTCTCCCTTCCCCCTCCCGTCCGCTCCCCTTTCCCGCCGTTTCTACCACCCTGGCTCTTTCCCCAAATCCACCAGGTGGCGCCCTCCGCCAAGGGAAGGGAAGGGAACTCCAGGCTACTGGAGGGCGAACGTCAAGGCTGCCTTCCCAGAGGAAGTGATATCACTGAGCCTTGCCTCTCTAGGACTCCGTACTCGCTTTCCTCAACACCTGGGGCTCCGCAGGCGACGGTGAGGATGCGGGAGAGTCGGGGGGGGGGGCGAGTGACATTCAGATGTGACCCGGGTGAGGGAGGGGGCTCTTCCTGCGTTCCATGCTCCCCAGCCGACCTCTGCATGCGAATGGGGAGGGAGCCTGGCGGAGGCCCAGCAGGAGAGGAGAGAGGGCCAGGGGAAGAGGAGGAGGCAGGATTCGCACTAGGATCCCCAAGGGCCCGATCCTGTCTCCGGAAGGGGAGAGAAGCGGGGGGGGGCTCTACACCTGCCTCCTTCCCGGCCCTGCTGTGGGATGGGATGGGCCCTGTGCTAGGAGGAGCCGCTTGGAGCTCAGGACAGGTTGGGGGAAGCGGGTCCAGGGGCTGAATCCCCTTTTCTGATCCTGGGCTTTGGTTTTTCTCTTCCTCCCAGATCCAGAACCTCGGAGCCCTTGGCATCCTTTGCAAGCCAGGATTTCCTCTGTGGGGGAAAGAAGGAAGGAAGAGAGGGGAAGAACTGGCAGGGATCCATCCTGCGGCCCCAGAAATGGTCCTGTAAATGAAGACGCCCTTGGAGACCCCCCAGAGTCCCTGGAGCCCTTTGGAGCTGCTCTGCCGGAGAGAGAAAGGATGGAGATACCCCCTTTGGCCAAAGAGAGGAGTGGAAAAGGCCCCGCAGTTCTTCAGCCTGAGAGCTGTGAGGAGAGCTGGACCAGACCCGGGCAGAAGGTCCTGCAGGAGGGAACCATGCTCCCTTCAGAAGTTCCGCCCTGGAACTTCATCCAATACCGTGAGGCTGAGGGTCCCCGAGGACTTTGCAGCCGACTCCATGACTTGTGCAGCCGATGGCTGAGACCAGGAAAGCACAGCAAAGCCCAGATGCTGGACCTGGTGGTTTTGGAGCATCTCCTGTTCCTTCTGCCGCCAGAGATAGAGGACTGGGTGCGGGAGTGTGGAGCAGAGAGCAGCTCCCAGGCGGTGGCCCTAGCAGAAGGCTTCCTTCTGAGCCAGGCGGAGGAGCAGAAGGAGCCTCTCCAGTGGCAGGTGGGAGATTTTAGGGAGCTCAGAAGGGAATAAATAGTGTTTGAATGCTTCACACCTCCTTCCCAAACTTCTCCCACATTCTTAATATGTGGCAATTCACCTGTTCTTGTAGGAGCCTCTGTGGCGCAGTGGTTAGAGTGCAGTACTGCAAGCTACCTCTGCAGCCAGCTGCCTACAGTTTGGCAGTTCAAATCCAACTAGGCTCAAGGTTGACTCAACCTTCCATCCTTCTGAGGTGGGTAAAATGAGGACCCAAATTGTTGAGGGCAATATGCTGACTCTGTAAACTGCTTAGAGAAGGCTGTAAACCACTATATATAAGTCTTATTGCCATTGTTTTCTCATTCAGCCACACGGATGGATATTGGGGGCCTTGAGGTTGTGTTCTGAATACAAGAATCCACTTTGTGTTGTGTGATGTACATTATTTCTGCTTCTTTCTTCCTCCTATTTGAAGTGCTGCAGTGTGGAGATCAGAAATCCTGAGGGAAAGAAGAACCCATCAAATCCCCCTCAGGAACTATTTTTCGGGAGGATCCCTTGGGAAGATCCAAGTCACGACACGTCAGGAGGTAATGGAAGATCCTCCGATTACCCATCTGTCTTACCTTCCCTCTCTCTTCTCTCCTATAGAACACCTCCTCCTATTTTGTTAATTATACATTTTGAAATTATTTATTCCTTACAGAGAAACAAAGAATGAAGCTTTCTGGTTCTTATGACGGTGATCAAACATCGGTTGAACCTCCAAATCAAGTAAGAAAGGGAAAAGATATTAGATTTCTATTCTCCCCTCAGGAAGTGAAGCGGGTGTGCAGTGGGCTCGAGCCTTCTGTTTCCCCCCCTTCTTTGTCCTGGATTATTTTTGTGTTCTTCCACAACATGGAGAGCAGAATAGCAGGTTCAAGTTTCTGTCGGCCAGCCTAGCTTCCTCTGGTTATCTTGTTCTGCTAGGTACTCCTCCAAGTTGGAATTTACAAGAAGTAATATTTTGAAAAGTCTTTCAAGAAGTAGGAAGAAACCTATCACAGTGCAGGAACTGCTAAAGCCCCCCCCCCTTTTTTTCTTTGACTCAGAATTTTGAAAAGCTAATAAAAATAAATACATTGCCACATTACCATTTTTTAAAAGCCTTATTTATAACCTGATAAAACTTCCCCAAATATTTCCTCAGTGAAAGCAATTTTCAGATTTGCCCATTTTCTCACCTAAAATTAGGACTTGTGTGACGCACAGCCATTTAACTTAATGCATATCTCTGATTTGGGAACAATGGAACAGAATAACAGAGTTGATAGGTATCTTGAGGTCTAGTCCAGGGGCCTCCAACCTTTTGGATTTCAGGGACCACCAAACACATAATTTTAAATCCCGCGGACCACTAATATGAATTTTGACTGACAGTGTCTTGCTGACATTGGTGGGAAAGTCAGTCCCATATTCCAGAGCTGCAGTAGTCACATGACTGGCTCTTTGGTCATCCCGAAGCAACTGCTCCTTCACCCGGGTGCACCGGCCTGCCATGGACTGGAGGAGCTGCTCTGGGATGAACAAAGGGCCAGTCCTGTGACTACTGCAGTTCTGGAATATGGGACCGTCTTTCCCACCAATGTCAGCAAACCACGCTGGAGTGGATTTCCCTCCTTTCCCCCCACCCCCCATTGGTCTTACCTTCCAGTTCCAGCTTGCGTGCTCTACTCAAGGTTTGTGGTCAGTTGAAGGGTGGGGGCCAGTGGGTGCTTTGAGGGGTACATTGCGGACCACCAAAATTTTCTCATGGACCACCAGTGGTCCCCAGCCCACTGGTTGGCGACCACTGTTCTAGTCCAACTCCCTGTTCAGACAAGAAACCCTATAACATTTCAGATAAATGGCTGTCCAGTTTCTTCATAAAAACCTCCAGTATTGGAGCATCCACAATTTCTGGAGGCAAGTCATTCCCCTGATTAATTGTTCTCACTGTCAGGAAATTTCTCTTTAGTTGCCGGTTGGTTCTCTCTTTGAATAGTCTCCATCCATTGCTTCTTGGAACACTGCTATCATGTCACGCCCTAGGCCTTCTTTTCATGAAACTAGACATCCCCAGTTCCAGCAACTGTTCTTTATGTTTTAGCCTCCAGACCACTAATAGGTTTTATTGCTCTTCTCTGCCCTCTTTCTAGAGTCTAAAGACATTTTTTTCCATCTGGCAACCAAAACTGGATGCAATATTCCAAGTGTGGTCTTACCAAGGCCTTATAAAGTGATACTAACATTAACATAGTGCTGACTCATGTTTAAGTGGTTGTCCACTAGGACTCCAAGATCCCTTTTGCACTTACTATTGTTGAGCCAGGTATCATCTATTCTATGCCAGTGCATTTGGTTTTTCTTTCCTAAATGTAGAACCTTACATTTCTCACTGTTGATTTTGTTTTGTTAGATGGGGCCCAATTTGTCGATCCTTCTGTATCTCTGAGCTTATCTTCTGGAGTGTTGGTATTCCTGTCAATCTGGTCTTGTCTGCAAATTTGAAGAGTTCCCCTTCTATCCTCTTGACTAAATCAATGATGAACAGATCTTGAAAATCCTGCTGTTGTGTTTTTTTTTCCTGTGTTCAGGAGAGTCTTGTGTCCTTCGAGGAGGTGGCTGTGTATTTCTCTGAGGAGGAATGGTCTCAGCTGGATCCTGACCAGAAATCACTGCATTGGGAAGTCATGCTTGAAAACCATAGGAACCTGGTCTCTCTGGGTAAGAGTTTCCTAGTCCCCAATCAAGAAGAAAGATTATGGTTTTTTTTTATTTAAAAACCACTGGTCAGATATTGTCTCCTGGGAGGGAGAAGAAAAGGATCTGGCGTTGTCATGCTCCAATGTCTCTTTGCTTAGATGCTTTCTATGCCATTTCTCATTGTATTGTCCTATTTCTATTTGAACTTCTCTGTGGAGGCTGAAAAGAAAGAGGTGTGCTTTTATGTGTCTTCTGGAGGTCGTATGAGAGGAGTGTGTTGTCATTTGTCCTCTGAAATCTCCCCAAATTGTGTGAGAACAGAACTTTCACCCCTAGGCCATGGAAGAGCATTCTCCCAATCCACTGGAAGCCCGAAACAAGAAGTTCCAGGAGGCCACGACCACCATGGCCATGCCTACCCAGCAACCGGGCAACGAACCGGTTGCTGGGATTTTTGAATCCCACCCGATTGTAGGGTACAGGCAATCCCCAAGTTACAACAGTTCACTTAGCGACCGTTCTAAGTTACGACTAGCCCTCCCCCATGTATTGGAGACCCACTCCTGAAATTATGAGTGTTGTAGCACCACGGCCATTGTTCACACTTATGAATGACAGCAGAGTTGCTGTAACGTTCACCCTACCTATTCTCCCACCCTATCCCGCCATGACTTACCATATTTTTCAGACTATAAGACACTTTTCCCCCCCAAAATTGGGTGGAAATGTCTGTGCGTCTTATGGAGTGAATACATGCCTCTTTTTGGCCTCTCAAACCCTCCATGTGCCCCGTTTTTGCCCCCAGCAATCCAGAAGCACTCTGCAGGCCAGAAATGGGCCCACACAAAGGGCTTGGGAGGCCAAAAATGGGCCCTTTTTTTGGCATGTAGAGTGCTCCTGGATGCCAGGGAGGGCAAAAATGGGACGCGCCAAAGCCAAAACCTATTTTTTTCTTGTTTTCCTTCTCTAAACCTAGGTGCGTCTTATAGTTCGAAAAATACGGTACCTTGCAACAATGTGGCAAGCCATCGACTTCAGTGCATAGAAAAAAGAGGCCTAGAGTAGTGAGAGACACATAAGATCAGTAGTGGGAAATTTAGCACTACTGATCTCACGTGATCTCGTACTACAGTGCTTTAGGCCTCTGTTCTGTGCTAACCAAGGCCTGCATGAAATCCAGGGCAAAATGCTTTTCAAAGAGAGGGAAGGCCTCTTCATTTTAAAAGACTTTTGCTCTGGATCTCGTGCAGTCCTCAGTCCTTAAAAGAACACAGGCCTAAAGTATTGCAGTGCTCCAATAAATCTTAAGTTTTCTCCTAATTCCTCCATGGATGTTTTCCCTGATTATTATGAAATTCAATGTGAAAAAAAGTAAGGTTCTACATTCAAGACAAAAAAAATATGCACAGGCACAGTATATGTGGTACCTTGCTCAATAGGAGTAACTGTGAGAGGAACTCTGAGTCTAGTGGACAACCATTTAAATATGAGCCCGCCATGTGCAGCAGCTGCCAAAAAAACCAACACAGGTCTAGGCTGCATTAAGAGGGACAGAATCAAGATCACTTGAAGTGTTAATACCAGTTTATAAGGCCTTGATAAGACCACACTTGAAATATTGCATCCAGTTTTGGTTGCCAGATGTAAAAAAGATGTTGAGACTCTAGAAAGAGTGCAGAGAAGAGCAACAATGATGATTAGCAGACTGGAGACTAAAACATAAAGAAAGATTACTGGAATTGAGTATGTCTAGTTTAATGAAAAGAAAGACTAGGGGAGACATGATAGCAGTGTTCCGATATCTATGGCTGCCACAAAGAAGAGGGAGTCAAGCTATTCTCCAAAGCACCTGAGGATAGGACAAGAAGCAATGGGTGGAAACTAATCAAGGAGAGAAGCAACTTAGGACTAAGGAGAATTTCCTGACAGTTATAACAATCAGTGGAACAACTTGCCTTCATAAGGTGTGAATGCTCCAACACTGGAAGATTTTAAGATGTTGGATAACGATTTGTCTGAAGTGGCGTAGGTTTCCTGCCTAAGCAGGGGGTTGGACTAGAAGACCTTCAACCTCCCTTCCAACTCTGTTATTGTATTCTATTCCTTAACTCAAAACTGATTCTGAGATTTGCATATATATATATATGCAACCCCCCAACCAATCAGAACACAGCCAAACCCCCAACCAATGAGAACACACCCCCACCCAATCAGAACACAGCCAAGCCCCCAACCAATCAAGTCACACCCCCACTAGCAGTTAAAAGGAAGAAGCAGCTGCAAACTCACATCACTCTGAGAAGCACAGAGCTGAAGACAGAAGCCTGAAGATGATGAATGAGACTTCATCGAAACGTTGCCTAGATACTTCCAATCTTACGCGGGAGAAAACCCGAATAACTAAAGATCCACATACAAATACCCGCGAGAACCTGAGAATATATATATATATATATATATATATATAGAGAGAGAGAGAGAGAGAGAGAGAGAGAGAGATAA